GAAATAACGAAAGATACAAAAAGGTTGGAGCTTTCAAGTAGAAGACGATAAAATGCATATCAATGTATGTACGAAGTGAATAAAAAGCATCAATGCTTACATCACATAAGAACACGACATCTCGACTACTTATATGATATTTCATCACTCGTGAGAGATCAAGACCGTTTGTCTATACTTCATTTTGTTTAGGAAAAAAATGTCGAAAGGGGGGAAAAGGAGAAAAATGGAAAAAAAGAAAAAGAAAAGAAAAGTGAATCTGCACCGTCCAATAATTCTTGCGGTGAGATCTCAACCTCTCAAGCGAGTAATATTTCATGTTTTCGATTGTGATGTTTTGTTGATTTTTAGGTTTGTTTCAAGGTAATATGTGTGAAGATCATTATTGTTCGTGTATGACAGATAATTATTATTACAGAGTTGCACGATCTATCCGAATTAGATAAATGCTTGCGCACTCGCTGGCCCTATCACATTCTCCCGTTAATTTAAACCGACCTCATAAAAACCGAATATTCGAAAGCGACTCTAATATACGCCGACCAACCATATGTATTAAAGTCCAAACATTCAAAACCCCAGATAGAGAGAGATTTCACGTTTGAAACTAGTCATGTACTGAAATGCTTTCATCTAATGTACACCGGGCTTTATCATATCCCACCGATTTTGGGCCACAACCTACTCCTACGTACGAACCCTAAATCTCAAGCTAAAACATGCGGTGCACCTTACAGCATCTGAACTAAGGGTCACGTCTCCATTTCTGTAGACTTTTAAGGGGACTTGCAAGAATCTACCTCTATAGATTACTTATCAAGACCATATCAATGATGCTATGGAAAAAGTGGATATAACAAGCTAGGCGAATCTGTCATATAAGCGTCTGTAATTCTGTTTTGGACTCTTTCCTACACACGAGTGTGTCAAAAACAACAGGGTGATCAATTGTCTGCACAGCTAACTCCATACGTGAAAAAAACTCCATACGTGAAAAGAACCCAAGTTTTTACTAGTCATCATCGGCCTACCCGCTTGGTGTTGTATGGGCAAGCAAGAAGGTGAAAGTACTAACCACTTACGGTCTATCATTCACCGGAATTGTCAATAGCTTGGGGTCTAGTTGAACTGCCACTTAGTCCTATTGCATGCCTCCGTCTATTACGCCGAGTATCTCTCCGAGATGGTGCCCAAAATAAAATAAAATAAATATCACATGTGAATTCATAGAATAATTTCACAAGAGAGTGATTACGTGTAAAATTTTGTGCCCTTTTTTTTCCCTTGCCCTTTTATCTGATACAATGTGACATTCAATCAAACTTTTTCTCTCTGTTTTTGGCTAAAGTTTGTGGCAGAGGATATGTGAGATGTGCTTGTGCATGATTGAATTGCTGAAAATATAGGAGCAAAAATCTTCATAATCTCGTCACAAGAGGAAAGGAGAAAAATATTTCCTCGGGCTTCTCACGAGTCATGACTAACTTCGGGCATATTGCACTTTTGCCAATTCAGCTCTAAACATTTTGCTAATTGAGTCATAAACATTTTCACGTTTTGCCAATTAAGTCCATCCAGTCAATTTGACATGGACACTGGCCGTCTTACGTGATGCGGTTGGCGCTGACGTAAACAATTTTTAATAATATTATACTATTATAATATTTTTTAGAATTATTTATTTATTTTTCCTTTTTTTTCTTTTCTTTCTCTTTTCCTTCTTCACTGCTTTCTTATTATGGCCAGCGAGGGTCGCCGGGCCCTCGCCGGCCACTGGGTGAGGGTCATCAAGCCCTTGCTAGTCGCTGGTGAGGGCCGAGACTGCCTCACTCGGCCGTGCCCGGTTGGGGGAGGCCATCGCGCGACCGTGGGTGAGGTTGGTCGCCCACAGCCATGATGGCCTCCCCCGCGGCCAATGAGGGCCCTGAAACCCTCACCGACCTCCAGCCACAGTAACAAAAGTGAAGAAGGAAAAGAGAGAGAAAAGAAAAAATTAATTAATTAATTATAAAATATTAAAATATTATTAAAAATTGCCCACGTCAGCGCTAGCTACACTACGTAGGATTCCCCGTCATCGATTTCCGATCAAAATTGACTAGATGGACTCAATTGGCAAAATTGAAATGTTTAGAACTGAATTAATAAAAGTATAATAGGTTTAGAACTTTTTGGACAACTTTCTTGACTTCGGGTTGATTCTAACGCCTTTTCCTGTGCTATTGCACAAAATAAAAAAACTGGTGTCAAATCACTTCCTTTTCTTAAATTATCCTACACAATGTTGGAAATTTTTTAGAGAACCCCTGGCTGATAGAAATTGAGAAAATGGTGATCGTTGAGCAGTACGTGCCATGAAAACCCTTACTCTCTTGCGGGAATAGTAATAATCGTTAAATGGTAATTGTCGTACATTTGTTGCTACACTTTCTTTATTATCCATGATGGGTATATTCGCTTCTTCTGATAGGCCTATGATTGACGGATTACAAGTAGATAGATCATGAGGAAGGTATATATGTTGTACGTATCGTTTATTTCATGGGCTCCATGAAATTTTTTTATGGAACTATTCCTGCACGTACATGTGCAATAAACTAATAACGCTCCATAATCGGTCTTAAACAAGCTGCTCATGACGTCTCCAATGCGGAAACTTCGTGAGCAATTAACTTCGAGCTGGTCAAAACGAAATTACTAATTTTTTGTCCAGACCCTAGAGGGCACTAGTGATGATGCAACGGCGTTCGCGATATGTATGACCAATTCCCCCAAAACCAGTTGCCAATTTCGTTACTCCAACCGTGTGTCTCATTATTCCTTAGGACAAGGATGGTCGAAGACGTCAGGGGACAGGTCGAGCCAATTATCGTCCAAACGACTTTTGACCATTTCGAAGTCCCATAGCTTTCTTCGAGGGTTATTTTCTCGAAAAATTAGAGCATATATTATCGGTGCAAAGAGATCGTTATAAAAGCAATCTCGTCCACCTTCCAGAAGATTTTGTTATCATCATAGACCCTTCAAAGTTTTTAATCTGGCATCTATCTCCTTGTGCCATATTAGAAATGGTAAGGATTGGGAAGAGCATGGAGACTGAGAGTGATTCGGTTGCACTTGAAAAAAAACAGTAAAATCATCTTCTTGTATTCTTTATTTAATCCATCAGATGTTTCGTAAAAATGCCGGCGGCTAGTTCCCACAGTGAGTGGGGTAATCGGTATAGATTATTTTAGTGCAATAATTTGACTCCATTGCTGATGAGTTTTGACCCACTAAATTGTTTCGTTACTAAATTTGAAACTTTTGAATCTTGAGAAACCCGAGTTGCACGGCAGAAAAATTCAGATTACGAACTCACTCGACTATACGAAGGCTTAAAGAAGTAATAGAACTCACTAGACTAAGTTCGTAATAGATGGACACATTCGACCTATTGACTTAAGCTTTTAGATTGAAACTTTTTTGGTATCGAAGCACAGGTCAAGTAGTTCGAATCCCGACGCTTTTCTCTCGAACTCATTGCGCGCGGTGAGCTCACAATAACTGACACACATAAAATAGGAGGGCGTTGCCTATTTTATTAAAATGAGCCAAGTCATGCATGTCTGAGGATCGACTTAACTTAAATATGTTATGTATATGTAATCTTCTTTTATTTATTTGTTTAAGTTTTTTAGGTGGGATTTTCTTACGTAATTTAACTCAAATTAGGGCTTAGGATTTTTCACCACATCTATATGTGAAAATTGTCACGTATACTTCTATGGAAACTCAGTTTTTTCACTCTCATTTGCATTTAGGGTATGCTTATTTCGGGAAAATTTTCATAATAAAGGAAAATATTTTTTGGGAAACCGTTTTCTAGAAAAACGTTTTCTCTGATTTCGGTTAGGGAATTCATTTTCTTAACTTTAAGCATATATATTTTCTTTGACCGTAAATGATTTTTCATTAACCGATCATTTTCAGCAAACCAAACACGTAAAAGTCCACAAAACTAATTTGTGAAAAATTCTATCTCCCAAACAAGCATGCCCTTAATTTAAGTCCAATCTTATACATGACTTGAGTTAGGAGAATATTATCAAGCGGATTTTGGACTTAGTGAACGGCCATACGCAATATTCTCTCGATCTGCGCGACCAATTTAATGACTATTTTTGGTCTGTTGCTTATTATAACCTACCAAATCCCACTACCCAACCCCAAAATCCAGCAGATGCGACCGGATCATACGTAGTCGATCTAAAACTAAAAGTTAGATGACCCGAGAAAAAATTAAAAATAAAACTGTCACGACTCTGCAAATGCTTAAATGCTCATGAGACCACTCTTCCCCGTTGGTCGCACCACCTCCATTCTCTCCCTCTCTCTCTCTCTCTCTGAAAAGAAAATCAGTATCACATTGATTCAAGACTGGAAGTGAGAGAGCTGAGACTGTGGTAACTTCAAGCTTCAACATGTAAGCGCAACGTGAATTGTGTTCACTTCTGTTCTAACTTTTTGAATCTCTCTCTCTCTCTCATGAGTTTGCTTTTTCTCTTTGTCGTGTTTGGGCGGTGAAAAAGATTGGCAAAACCAGCATCAAAAGAAAGAAAGGTAGTGAGTGACAGGGGGGTCTCTTTGTAGGACCCAAGTGTTTCAGTTCTATTCTCTTGCCTTTTCTCTTTTTATTTTCCTCGTGAAGAATGGTTCTCTGGTCGGTTCTCAACTTGGTTCTTAGAATTCATGAACTCCAGAGGCTAAACGATCTTCAGTTCAACCATTACTTTTTATAAAAATAAAAGGAAATTTACAATGGGGGTCAGTACGGCTTCTCCCTGCTGCTCTGCCACCATTAATGGCTCCGCCTTATCTTGAGTATGTGGAATATGCTGGGGCCTCATAACTCGGCATGAGATCTTGTTTCCAAAAATTATACTGTAAGAAGATTTAGTTTCGTTTCTCTTTTTTCTTTTCTTTTCCTTCTTTTTTTTTCTTTTCTTTGTTGTTCGATATATGTTAGTAAACAATCGGTGGTTACATGCTTCTTCTTTTTTCTTCCTATCCAATTCTTGATTTAGAAATATGCAACAAAAATAAAAACATTCTGTGCTTGGAATTTAGTAACTGAGCTCAGCTTTTGGAAGCTACCTATGTTGTTTGTGCTCCATGGATGATAAACCCCACCTGTGTCGTCTTTTTTCTGGTACATCATTAGACAATCTGAGCTAATTATACGCTTTTTTGGTAACTGTGAGAAACATAATTTGCATAGAATGAAGGGCAAAAGAAAGAAGTGAAAAACGATGGTTTCGGTGTTGAGAGTGAAGGAGACGGAAGAACAAGTGTAACTGCATTGATTGGGAATTTCGTATTCATTCTTTTTTCTTTTTCTTTTTGTTTGCGTGTGTCGAGAAGAAATTTTGGAAATGTCAACTGGAGTCCAAAACCAGGGGACAATTAGGGAGCACTTGAAGGAACAGCTTGCTCTTGCTGTGAGGAATATCCAATGGAGCTATGCAATCTTCTGGTCAATTTCAGCTGCACAACCAGGGTATACTAATGGCCACATCTCTGTTCTTGTACATATTTGTTGTAAAATATTTTTCTGCATAGGCTTCTATCTAAGGTTGCTTGTTCTCCTAGTGACCCAAAAAAAAAAAAGGCTGCTTGTTCTCCTGAGTTTCAGAGTGTCAATGCAGTTAGTAGGTCTAGTTTAGGATTAACATAAATAAAAACTAACAATGATGATAAATTTGAATATTATTGCTTGCCCGCTTGACTCTGAGGTTAGAGCATTGGATCTGTAATGCAATGGTCATTGATTCCAACAGCCGGCTTTTTCTCTTTTCAATTATAGAGTTGCATTCCTATAGTCATATCAGCTTGGTTTTTCCTTATTTGGTATTCATATTAGCTTGTTTAGATTCTTCGTATGCCACTTAGCTTCTTGAATTTCTGTTCATAATTGGGATTGTCATGCCTACAAGAATAAAATCTTCCTATGCGTCGGCTTGCCTTGAGATATGAGAAGTGAATTGGTTTGAGGCTCGTCATGTTTCTTCTAGCTGAAAAAAATTGAGTTTCGTGCAGGGTACTGGAATGGGGTGGCGGGTATTATAATGGTGACATAAAAACCAGGAGGACGACACAAGCTATAGAACTCAATGGAGGAGACCATATGGATTTGCATAGAAGTGAGCAGCTAAGAGAACTATATGAATCCCTCTCGGGCATTGAATCCAATCCACAAACTCGTAGAAGGCCTTCAGTTGCGTTATCCCCAGAAGATCTTGCCGATACAGAATGGTATTACTTGGTTTGTATGTCCTTCATCTTCAACATTGGGCAATGGTAAATTCCTTTCTTACAAGTAGTGTTACTTAAACCACTCTGTGCCATGTTATGCCTTTTTCTCTTTCCTATTCCAATTTGTAAAAGCAGCTTATGTTCAGTACTCACCAGTTCGCAAACAATGGTTCTTCACTTCATTAACCTGCAGTTTGCCCGGACAAAGTTTAGCAACTGGTCAAATGATTTGGCTATCCAATGCACACTGTGCAGATAGCGAAGTGTTCAGTCGGTCTCTGCTTGCTAAGGTTGGTGATGATCTTACTTGAGAAGCAATGTTAATTGTTAAAAGTTTGCCATTATTTGATGACCCTATGCACTTATAAGTTATGATGGACGGTCAAATCTGACATTTGCTTACTGTGCTGATATTGTTCTGTAATATGGGGATTCAACAACCACATTCTCCAGAGCGCATCAATCCAGGTATTATATCTGTTCACAAAATGTTACCAGCTAACTTTTGATTGCTTTCACTTAGATTCCTCACCATCGACAATGAAATGATTCCAACACGAAAGAAGAATCACTGCTTTGTAATTTGGACAGTTTCAAAGTCTCTTCTTGACTAGATAACTCTCCTTGTATCCTCTTTCTCGCTTTTCAGACTGTTGTGTGCTTCCTGTTTTTGGATGGCATCATTGAGCTTGGCACAACCGAACTGGTATAATGTCGCAACCCTCCATTATGGTTTCTCCAGTATTTTGAAGTTGCAAATGCAGAGGAAATCTATACCAAGTTTCCTTATTTTTCCTTTTCAAATGCTTTGGAAGGTTTTGGAAGATCGTAATCTCATTCGATATGTCAAAACCTCCCTCTTAAAGTCTTCAGACTTGAAGAGATCCGACCCTTATGCTAGAGATACTACTGAAGAAAGCATAATGATTTCAGTAGAAGCAGAGGAAGGAATAACTTCACTTAATACCAGTTCGAATGGGCTTGATCCCAACCAACAACTTGATGACTCGTGTGTTATTGGAGAATTAAATGGGGTTGCTTCCCGAATACAAAGTTGGCAGATCAAGAATGATGAGCTTAGTTACCACATCCATCAATCCGGAAATTCCAGAGATTCTATTTCGCAATCCTTCTTAGAAACTGGAACATCCATTTCAATTCCTAATATTGAGAAGTCCAACGATCATTGGCCAGAAAACCTTCAAGAATGCAATAACGAAGAACTAAACAGGGTAGACCTTCGAGGTGACGTTTTGCACTACCAGACCATGCTTTCATCTATCTTGAAAACCTCCAACGGATTAAGATCAGGACCACATTGTGAATGGGGTGAACCAGTGTCAAGTTTCATTGGTTGGAAGAAAGGACAACTCAAATGGCAGAGAGAAAAATGCGTTCCACAGAAGTTGCTGAAGAAGATCTTGCTTGAAGTACCTCAGCTGCATGCGAGGAGCATGCTCAACTTTTGCAGAGTAAGTTGCAAGGGAGATGGGATGTGGATGGCTTTGAAAGATGAACTCGGTCCAGACCATACACTATCTGGAATTAGGCAAAGGGAAAAGATAAACGATCAGTTTTCTGTTCTTTACTCGATCATCCCATCAGTAAACAAGGTATGTATATTTATATGCCTTCAACGTGGGAAAACAATGATCCCTTCATCATTCTATTGGCACTAGCTAACATTCAAATGAATATTGCGGAATCGCATAATCCAGGCTGACAAAGTATTGATACTAGATGACACAATCGAGTACGTGAAGGAGCTTCAGAGAAGGGTGGAAGAGTTGGAGTTGAGCAGGTCGTCAAACGAATTATTAGCAATCTCTGGAGGAAAACCCCAAGAAAGTACAGAGAGGACATCTGATAACTGCTGCAGTCCTCGGAAGGGTCTCAGCAAGCGGCCAGTAGCTACAAAAAGGAAAGCTCACAACTGTGACGCGACAGAAACAGATACCAGTTATCTTAGAGATGGTCCAATTGATTATTTAAGTGTTCGTGTGAATGATGAAGACGTGCTAATTGAGATGAGGTGTCTTTGGAAGGAAGGAGTAATGATAGAGATAATTGAAGCTTTGAGCCATTTCAGTTTGGATTCTCACTCAGTTCAGTCATCGAGCAGCGACGGTATTCTTTCTGTGACCGTTCAATCCAAGGTATAGACTCAGGTTAAATTGCATTTTCCTTATGAAGTTACAGAAATTAGCTCGACTAAGAAATTGAGCGGGATTGGATTGTGATATATTATGTACTTTCATGTTTAGTCCAGATAATGCCAGTATAATAAGACAGGTAGCAAAATAAATCATTGATTCGCCCGCAAGGATTAACATTTTCTATTATTTTCTTGCGGTTGCAGAGATCAACAAGAACAAAAACAACAGCTGCAGCGATCAAACAAGCGCTTTGGGGAGTCGCTCAGAAATGCTGAAGATCATTTACTGACTGATATATCCTTAGGATAGCTTGACAAGTTAACCATAATCATTTTGAGAAGTCATTACTGATGTTCTTCCTGATAGGATACTCTAATAAATGGAGAATAAATTTTTCGGAAATATCGATTTCATTCTTTCAGGGTCAGAATGAAGATTTGTGCCTATCTCAGATCAGGGTCTATTCCTTCTAATGAGCTTTTACTGATATATTTTGAGGAAACTTGGAGGAGGAAGCACTTCAAGCATTAGCTAATTAATTGAAAAAGTACACGCAACCCTAGTCTAGTAAAAAAAAGTACAAAAAATTTCAGTCATGAAAATTTGTCACTCGGCCTAGGGGACTGTCAACAAATATATATAATGAACCAGAGCGGATCCTTAGAAGGCTCAATCTCGATCCTCGTCTGGATTATGGGATTACCGTGATGTAAAATTTTCAGAGAATAACGAGGCGTGCATGCACCGACACATTAAAATAAGGAACGCATCCGTGAAGTCCATCGTCCATGTATACTAAATAGATAAGCCATGGAGGCCCTCCCAAAGCTTAGGCTCCCTTTTGGCAAAAGAACATGCAACCCTAGCCTAGCAAAAACAAGTATAAAAAGTTTCAGACATGAAACTTTGTTACCCATCTTAGGGGACTGTTCTGCTCCACTCCTGCCTGGCTAACTCATTTGAGAACCGAAATTACTGAGAAAATTACTTACTTGTGGTATGCGTCTTCCTTGAAAAGGTGAAATAATCAGAAACCCAAATCACCTCAAAACAAAGGAAAAAAGTAGAAGTTAATTAGAGAAGAGACAGAAACTGTGGAAAAACCATCAAGACCAGGTTGAAGTGAAGGAGGTCAAATATTATAATGGAGGCTTTATGGGAAGGTGAGAAAGATGCTCCTTACAAGATTTATTAGTTAATAAATGGGCAAAGTCCACCAAAAACCTCAAATTATATCCACTATAACATATTTACCCTAACTTTTTCTATGACACCAAAAATTTTAAACTTATATAAGTGTGACACATTTGCTCTCTGTCAAAGTTCCGCCAATGAACACTCTTAAAAATCTGCTTATATAGATATCGGAAAATAAACGGTTTTGACATGGCGTCCACGTGACATAATCATTAGACGGAATATTGACGGAGGGTAAATGTATTATACCTATTGGGTATTTTATATCACAAGAAAAAGTTTAGGGTAAATGTATTATAGTGAACATAGTTTGGTAGGTATTTTTTGTGACTTTTTCCCTTGATAAACCACATATTGTAGTATCAACCTTTTCAGCCAGTCATATTGAAATCTCACTGAACCCATGCTTTAACAGAGGCCAAAGAATGATGTCCCATCTTAAAATCTTTATAAAGTAATGCAAGTTTGCTTTCTTTAAGCAAAAAAAAAAAAAGCGGAGAAGGACGCCAACATCGACAAAAGGACAAACCAAAGACAAAGGCGAATGCATTGGAGATAGATACCACCAAATCTAAAGACGATTAGGCTGGTGATATTATAAAATAAACTCCCCCCTTCCTTTAATTGGACAGTAAAGTATAGTGTTCTTGCTTTATGCAAAGATCTGCTTGAAGTGGTTAAAAACCTCCAACAGACATAATCAAGACCCAGGTATGGAAAAAGATGAACAAGCACCATCTTGATGGGGTTGAAGTAAATATTTTGGTACTATAGCAGCGCCTGGTTTGATTAAAGTTCTTCCTCGTGTCCATCATTATGCACATCCAAAATTTAAATTTAGTCGGGTGATTTTATCGTTTATTCTTAGTCCCTATGTCATCACGCCGTCAAATGTGCAGCAATCTCACAAAATCAATATGACTCCAATCACAGACCAGTTCCTGCTTTCTGGAACTCCAATTACTGGTTCATTTGACAGTTCCCTTTAGTAAATCATACAATCAAGAACATGGTCTCTACTAGATCCCTTCACAGTACTTGCTACAGCTACTAAAAAGATCTGGGAAAGAGAATTTCTGCTTCACACAAGAAGCATTTACCAAAAATATACTGTGCAATACACATCAGAGACGAAGCATTTATGGACGCCGCCATCAATAAACAGAAGCAGTTGGGAGTAAGCAAGGCAGAGAGATTATAGTGTCAGTATATGTAAAATTTACAAAATTTACGTTCTTCTGAATTTTATTTCCCACAATGATTAAGAAGTAGAAAAAAGCATACCCATGAAACTTTCTATATTAACTTTCTAAACGAATCTCCCAGAAATATCACTCGTGCCCCACCATATCAAAACAGTGACATATGAAAGGTGAAGTATGTTCCGTCGGCAACATAATTGTTCAATCAAAAGGACACTAGTCGAATCTAGCAAGTTCGAAAAAGGTAAATCATCAATCAAAAGGAGGGCAGGGCAGTAGAGATCAAGAAAGCCAATGTTTTAGCCACACCACCAAGGATTAATTGCTCTAGCTCAATATCTCGCACCTTATTGTGCTTTTGCAGAGAGCAATGTCAGTGAAGGAAGAACTAGCATTTGGAATTCATTTCAATAGTGATGAAACAAGAAGTTCAAGATTATGATACCATCACCACCATCTATCCAATTAAGTAGCGACATGGAAACAAGGGAAAAGTGTAGGGCCATTGCCTCCCCGAGATAAATAATAAATAATTCAAGCGCACAAGAATTAAAATGCATTTGTTGAATTCCATTTCAACGGAATGCAATATCAACATTACATGTTTCGTCTTTTCTCCTTTCAAACTAACAACTAGTACATTTGGCACAAAATCTCCTACAACTTAGTTTCAATCGACATCGCTCCCCTGCTCTTCCCATGTCAAGTATAAGCCAAACACTGATACAAATCACACAACAAAACCACACCAATTCCAGATACAAAGAGACAATCTTAAATACTGAATCTTAAATACTGCTATCGAAACATAGAAAGGGGGCAGGAAGGAGTGGAAGCAATCTGAACATTACTGCAGAGCAATTTCTCCATCATCAACCATCTTCGACGGCAGAGTATGAAAAACCAGGAACATGAATATGAATAGCGAATTCACCATACAGAACCACATATCACATGTTAAACAGTACTTATAGCATTGTAGTGACTGTTGCTTGAATCTTAACCCCTGCAAAATCCTTGACAGTGTATCCAATTTTCTCAAACTTTCCTTCCTCGTTACTCTCCCTAAATTTCAGATAGTCAGCACAGACAAATGGCTTGTAAATCCTTGCGTTACCTTTCCCCACAACATCATTGGGTGCCAATATCACCTTCTCATCCTCAAAACACCAAAAGAAAGCCAGAGAATGGCGGTTCACTGGTTGCTTAAGAACAACTCGGTGTTCAGATGACCTAAACCTTCCATTGCTCCAAGCCTGCATCAAATCTCCAATATTAACCACCAAAGAACCCTTGCAAGGATCTATATTCAACCACTCCCCTTCCTTGGATCTCATCTGAAGCCCACCAATCTCATCTTGATAGACTAGTGTTATGCAACTCATATCAGTATGCATTCCAAGTCCTTCGACCTCTTTTTCTTTTACATTTTCAGGTGGGGAATAATTTACAATCCTCAAATAACCATGACAGTTGCTGAATTCTGTCTTGTGATACTTCTCTTCGTAATCATTGCCCAAGCACTTCAACAGAACCTCTATAACTATCTTTGACACCTCAATCACCTTGCTTCCATACTCTTGCAACGCATTGCTGGCAGAATAAAAGCAAAGAAACCAAATTCAAAAACAAAATAGTGCGTGATAAAAAGGCAGAGAAAGACCAAAGAAAGTTACCTTATTTCATGATTTTGTGAGCCAAAAAGTTCATCAGCAGACGCCTTTGCAGAGGCCATAAAGTTGGGTCCAGACACTCGTAAACTTTCAAAGTAAGGAGATGCTATAAAACGTGGAGTGTAGGTCTGGATTGATGATGATGGACCTAGTTTGAGTTTCAATTCCTGAGGAAGGCTGAATATATGCTCCGATAGCAAACAAAGCTCACTGAATATACTTTCAGGTATACCGTGATTGATAACATAGAAAAACCCCCATTCTTGACATGCTTGAGAGAGTGCAGAGAGGAAGGTGGACTCTACAGGTTGAGACAAATCAAGAACAGGAAGTTGAATGGAAATTTTTGATTTGGTCATTATTACACTAGAAGAGGACAAGGGTACTTCAGCTAGCTAGGAATGTAGGCACACAGAGTTGGCTACTTATAGAGTAGGGTACTTAAGAGAAGAATTTTATATATCAAAATTGTCATTCGCTGCTTTGTGTTAGTTTCAAATGCAAAAATGATGAGCAATCATTAAAAAACTTTTCGAGTCGTCAATTGCCGCACTCCAACATAAAGTGGTAGGAATAAAACCACAAAGGCTACCATGATTTGTAGCGTAGACCAGGTGGCATAAAGGGAACTATTAACATAATATTGGTAGGGACAGGTCATACTGATTACCCACCATAAATATAGCCAAAGAAACACTGTACTATCACTGAAATAAGCAAGCAATAAGATTTGCCGGGAGAAAAAATGTAGAAAAGAGTTCAACCCCTATCTCAGCAGCAATAATACACGGGATGAGAGGAGGTATTGGTGCTTAATAAAGCCTTTAGTAGTGCTTTATTATAATTGGTAGTCGGACAAGCTTCGATCAGTAACGCACACACGCCTCAATGTTATTTTAGAATCAGGCAAATATGCCTTGCAATATGTACCACATATCAGGATAAGAGTTCGGCAAACCAATCTGCCATTTCACAAACTGAGTACCAAGAACAAGTTATAAAGACTATGCATAACACAGATTTCTTTTAGAACTTTGTGCCATTTTCCATCTAAATAATACACGATCTCAAAACTCTACCTCTAAGAGCATGAGTATGACGTATGTCCTACCACATCACATAAATTTTCCCTAGTTACTGGAAAATTTATGTCCCAAAAATGAGCATTCAAATCTGATCATAAATATAATAAATCCAGACAATTTTCTTGCATAATGGTCTCACTCCCACTCAATTGTTGATGGAGGCTTCGATGTGATGTCCAGAACAACTCTATTGACACCTCGAACACTGTTGCATATCTTTCGTGATACGTGGTCAAGGAACTTGTGATCAAACTGATACCTGAAATTGTTTGTAATTGACATATAAGCACTCGGCATTCCGAAAAGGAAAAAATTAAAAGGAAACTCCATAGATACGAGGGCCCTTAAATGCCCTTTAATAAAGACCGTCATCCAGATAAGCAAGAAAAAGGCAAAGAAATTGTTGAAACACACATGCACAAGTAAAAGACCGAGAACAAGAAATATCAGAGCAACGAAAATGCAAGAGATGCCGACGTAGTTAGTGGGCTTTACAAGCCATTATCCAATCCTAGAGACAAGCCTCCCACAATACAAGCTGGCAAGATGACATTCTTTTCCAAAGACAAGAAAGAAGTATGACAAGCCCTAAAGGAACTGCCTGCTTACCAATCTGCCGTCATTCCGTCTTGACTTGTGACCGCTCTAAGAGCAACAACATGAGAATGTGTCCTTTGATCACCCTGAACTCCAACAGACCTTACTGGAAGAAACACAGCAAAGGCTTGCCAAATGTTATCATATAGTCCAGCATCCTTGATTGATTGAATAAATATTTCATCCACCTTGAGAAGACAAAACAAGAAGACAAAGGTCATGCCTTCAAAGTGAAGAAAGTGGAGAAACATTTGTGACATGCCTTAACAACACATACCTGGCGAAGGATATCTAAAGCATCATCTTTCGTTACGTCGCCCAAAACTCGAACTGCAAGGCCAGGACCAGGAAATGGGTGACGCTTCAGAAATCCTTCGGGAACATCCAATATCTTTCCAAGTTGACGAACCTTAAGAGAAATAAATAAAGCTAGTTAAAAACCAGACAAGTCAGAACCAAAATAAAGACAAGCAACAACAAGCCAAGAAGAAATAATACCTCATCCTTGAATAGAAGCTTCAGCGGTTCAATCAGCTTCAATTTCATATCCTTGGGAAGTCCTCCAACATTGTGATGACTCTTAATTGTGTGTGAGTGTGACCTTCCAGTCCCTGGGGGAGGACATGATTCGATCACATCGGGATATAAAGTTCCTTGGACCAAATATGCAGGTTTCTTCCCCAACTTTTTCTCCAGATCATGGGCAAAAGCATCGAAGATGCAAATAAATTCCTTTCCAATTATCTTTCTCTTCACCTCAGGATCTTCTACACCCTTTAACTTGCTAAGGAACTGCTCAGTCGCATCGACACAAGTAACTGGCAGATGTAGATCTCTTTCAAAGGTTTTCATGACACGCTCCTGCTCCTTGTACCTATAAGAAGCAAAGTAAGGCAGAGGACATAAAATGGCAAGACCACACAAAAGATTTCCCCAAAAAGGAGGCTCAAACTCACCTCAGAAGACCATTGTCAACAAAAACACAATGAAGCCTCTCTCCAATAGCCTTGTGAACAAGAGTTGCGGCAACTGTTGAATCAACACCTCCAGATAATGCGCAAATGACATGATCTTCAGGCCCCACTGTTTCCTTTATCACTTTAATCTCTTCATCCATTACATTTTCCATCTTCCACCCTGCAGTGACTCCACAAATGTCAAAAAGAAAGTAGCGCAGTGTTTCCATTCCTTCAGGTGAGTGAGTAACCTGCACCATATTCAACAGCCAACATTTATGAGGAGAGACATGCGGTGATCTCAAAATCCAGTCACAACTCGGCAGCAAGAGAAGACCATCAAGCTCAAGCCTAATCGGTCATATCTACTAAATGCTTTAATTAACCAAATTACTCAAGAAAATTTCTTATTTTGAGGAAGTCAGCAACGAAATTCACATGAAATATGCACAAATCAGGCTGTGCAACAAGTTGCCTCCCACTTCAGTTGAACTTAATCAAACCCGAAGTGAACTCACGAACCAATAACCCAAAATCTAAACTTCCACTAATTAAAACTTACATAACCAAATCTATGTGAAAATTCTTTTGCATCGTGAACCAAGAAACCAAAAAGAACAGCAAAGAAAAATCAAATGCCGTCGCCGCCATAAATCCAGTGCAAGACAGATTTTTTTTCCTAACAGAAGCCAAAATCAGAATCAAAACCAAACCTCAGGATGATACTGAAGCCCATAGAACCTCCTCCCTAAACTCTGGACGGCGGCCACCGCCCCCTGCTGGCTCCGCGCGACGACTTCGAATCCCTCGGGCAACCTCACCACCTCATCCCCGTGACTCATCCACACAGCCTGCCTATCCCCCACGCGCTTCGACCCGAAGAGCCCCGAATCCTTCTCCACCTCGATCTCCATCCTCCCGTACTCCTGCTTCTCCCCGATCCTGACCTCCCCTCCCAGCCTCTGCACGACCAGCTGCAGCCCGTAGCAGATCCCCAGCACGTACACCCCGTTGCCCTCGGCCCACTCGGCGAACCCCTCGGGGAAGCTCGGCGAGCCGGCCGAGTGGACCGAGTGGGGGCCGCCGGAGAGGATCACCACGCGCGGGCTGTGGTCGGTGATGGCCTTGAGCGGCGAGGTGCCGGAGATGCAGAGGGAGAAGACGGAGAGGCTCCGGATGCGGCGGGTGATGAGGTGGGTGTACTGGGAGCCGTAGTCGAGGATGAGCACGAGGTCGGACTTGACTTCTTTGGCGTCCATCTCGGCGGCGGCGGCGGAGGCGGTGTGTGTTCAGGCCCTGCAGGGTTTAAGCGGAGCGAGGGAGAGAGAGGGGCTAGGGTTTTAGTGGAGTTTGGCGGGAAGTGCCGCCGTGAATGTGTGGCAAGGGTGCTAAATGGGGCAAAAAAGAATGGGTTAATATTACGAAAAATCTTAAATTGGTATGTTCGTGATAAATTTACTCTAAATTATTTTTTTGATCACAAAAAATTCTTAACTAATACACCTGTAACAATTTTATCCCGAACTATTTTTTTGATCACCAAAAGCCCTAAACTGTTACATCTGTGACAATTTTACCACGAACTAATTTTTTAATATTATTTTTTATTTTTTCAAATTTTTTTATTTGTTTTTTGTTTTCTTTTCTTTTTCCTTTCCTTTTCTTTTCTTTTTTCCTTCATCTTCAACCACTGGCCGGTCGCCAGACAGGCGACCGGCCAGAGGCGGGGGCCGGAGAGGTCGGCCCTGCCGGCCGCTGGCGAGGCCGACCTCACCGGCAACTGGCAAGGTCGGCCTTGCCCACCCTTGGCAAGGTTTGACCTCGCCAGTTGCCGACGAGGGGTCATCCTCGCTGTCGCTGGCAAGGCACGGCCCCGCCGGCAACTGGCGAGGTCGGCCGAGGCTCAACCTTGCCGCTTCTAGGCAAGGCCGACCTCGCCAACGCCGGCGAGTTCGAGCCCTCGCTAGAGCGACAGAGAGTTCGAGCCCCCGCCAGATCTGGCGAGGCTTGAACTCGCCGGCAACTGGCGAGGTCGGCCTCGCCCAGAAGCGACGAGGTTGAGCCTCGGCTGACCTCGCCAGTTGCCGGCGGGGCCGAGCCTCGCCAGCGACGGCGAGGACGACCCCTCGTCGGCAACTGGCGAGGTCAAACCTCGCCAAGGGCGGGCAAGGCCGACCTCACCAGTTGCCGGCGAGGTCGGCCTCGCCAGCGGCCGGCGGGGCTAACCTCACCAACCAGAGGTTGAAAATGAGGGAAAAAAAAAAGGAAAGGAAAAATAAAAAATATTCAAAAAAATAACATTAAAAAATTAGTTCGTGGTAAAATTGTCGCAGGTGTACCAGTTTGGGATTTTTGGTGGTCAAAAAAATAATTCGAGGTAAAATTGTCGCAGGTGTACCGGTTTGGGATTTTTTGTGGTCAAAAAAATAGTTTGGGGTAAATTTGTCACAGATGTACCAGTTTGGGGTTTTTCGTAATATTAACCCAAAAAGAAAGGAAGTGGGAATAATATCTTCCCGAAATTATGTTAAAATTCCCCATTTTTCTGGTGGACACGTGGCAGGAAAAGGAGTTATTCTTATGGAGGCAATTTTTTTGTGGGAAAATTTTATGGAATTTCTTATGTCTTTTTAGCCCAGAAATAGGAAGGAGATGTAAAAATGGGATTATTGCTCGAAACCCCACCCCCCCCGGGTTAAACTTTGACGATGTTGGACAATAGTCCCCAATTTTCGAAAAGTTTCTGAAAATGGCCCCGAGCTTTGCAAATTTTAAATTGCCCCTTGAGCTTTGATTTTTGTTGCAATCGCTGGCTTTTTTTGTCTGTCTATATAGCCGTTAAATGTCATATTTGTCGACAAAAAGAAGACCTTTGTTACATGATCGATAAAGTTAAATCATTCTCTAAAATTACACATCTCATATGACAAACAAGTTTTGGGTTTGCTACACAACAACATATTTGTCGAGCAATTATTGAATCATCGATTGTATTTTTTCCGTCGATAAAATACGGCAATAGCATAAAATCTTATATCGTTAGCAATGATAGGGTACTTAAATTGTCTTCAAAATAACAGTACAGAGGCTAAAATGCTATGTAGAAAAGGGAAATGAACCAAAAAAGAAAATAAAATAGAATCATCTTTATTCTTTAGATGTTAATCAAACTTTAAAGAAAATTCCACAACTAAACTAACGTACTCGCGTAAAATGCTTATGAGTTTCAAAAGCCACTTTGCCACCACTAGCATCCGATCGCTCTCATCCCTCCCCAACAGCATCTATTCCTTCTTTTTTGGCCCATGCCCACTCGAGTATTGAGCATGTTCACATTCCCATCCCCACTCAAAACGCATTGGTCAGGACCACCGTAATACAAGAAGTGACCCCTAGGACCACCCAAATCATGGCTTGCATTGGCATTGTAACGCCCAGGATCATCCACAACCCCAACGAAGGACTCGTCAAGTGGGTCAGTGAAAATTGCCCTGCTGATCTGAGACCTGGATCTGGCACACATAGGCTGATCCATTGGTTCCTTCTTCAGGGAAATGACCACCTCCCCACCTGGCTTGAGTCGCGCCCAAATCGGCCATCACCATGAATAGCTCCTTTGGCCAGTCCCCGACGCGCGCTGCTCTCGCCGAAGAACGGGCAACAGTTCCTCGATTTGTTGTCCTGCAGGTCAGGAGACGGAAAAGGCAGGTCGAAAACACGCGAACTGGGGGCAAAGACTAGCTAATAGTACCGTGGGGGAAATGCTTATACTGGCACTTTATGTAGCTCGAGCCTTAGTCATGTTATAGTCGATGTTTACTTGTGACAGTACATGAAGGTCTTGATGTCGGAGCACCGACGAGGCTCTTTTTTTGTAACCTGATATATAAGTTAGAACAAGGTCATAATGCTGCCCACGGTGTTGGGAAACTGGGCTTAGGACGAGGCCGAGGGGCACTTTGGAGCTGATCTGCAATAGAGAGAAGGATTAGGAAGAAAAGATGAAAATTTCTGATTTATAAACTGGACGACAGAAGCTTAAAGATAGTACAATATAGCTTATGGTTGGCAGCTGAGTTCCCATATAAGTGTGGATTTACCTGGGGTGAATGACAGGTACTAGAAATAAACCAGACCATCTATGGTTCAATTCAAACCATATTTTGCTTTCTTTCGACAGTAATTGAAAGAAAAACAGAGAGAGTAGAAACAAAGCATAACATTCGTCTTTCACTATGCTACAGCACATCGTTACCGTCTGGAAAAGGTGAGTTCATACTAATTTATATAGCATCATGTCATGAATCATCGGCCTAAACATGTATAAGAGCAAGCATTAACGAGCCTCAAAAACTTTGTCGACAGTCTTCTATGTGACTAGGACACCGGCTAACTCTATGCAAGTTGTCCGTGCCTTTGACAGATAATTGTAATATTCTGTTATTAGACCGCAGAAGCGAAAAAACTCGACTTTTCATCCCCAGAGGAAAAAAGATGCAAGGCATTTACTTACTATCTAGCCTGCCTGCGTACTATCGACTGGTGCCACAAGATCCACGACCCAAATGCTCGCACTGCCGAATCGGCCGTCCTTCATGCTAGGACTCCAGACATTTATCTGTGCCCTTGCTGCATAATGGCCACCTGTATATAACGTCGACACCGACTATATTGCAAGGGAATAATGAGTAATTTGTCGGATATTGTTGACTAGAACGTAAGCAGAGCACTCTGCATTCTCCGAACTACCGGAGAAACTTTATATTTGCCATAAGTACTGTAAGAATTGCTTACGCGTTTACCCGTTACATTATCTTTTTGCGCCCCATCACACTTGGGAATGGTCTTTGTCCATGTTGTGAAAACCGTTTTGCGATCAGTAGATCTTCCTTTGTGGCTCTTGCGACAGGCACGGTTCCATGAGGACACTGCTTAATAAAAGTATTCAATCTTGGAGCTCCTTAAATCATCTGAAAGTAGCACAATGCAATAACCGCGCATGTGGGTCTTACTTGATCCGCAGCTGCCCGATATTGTCTCCTCAAAACGATTGCTACACCATCAATTTGCAGACTGCTTCCGAATAAACACAAATTTGGATGCAACGCATTTTCGTTTCGGATCAAATTCAATTGTCTTTTTCTTGAAGAATTCATATCATCCAAACTCCAGAGCACTCATTATGTCCTTCAATTTTGCTTTAAAAGCATACCTGCCCCTAAATAGTTTTATCAAACGTCTGGTAAAGGGGAACATTAAAGCGCAAAAGCCATCTGTTGACAAATTCCAGCATAGGCCATTGGCCAACTCAACCAAAACTTGAATATTCAGCAAACCTGGAGACAAAACGGCATGACATGAATCTAATGGAATTTAGCGAGAGTGTCAAGTAACTAGCAAAACTGCCAATTTTATCTATTATCTCCTTACTGATAGTTGAAATGACTATCCAGGGAGTCAAATTTCCTACAATCATCCCAAAACTGTTCAGCCTCTTTTAGTAATCGCAGTATAGCAAATCCTAGAAAAAGTTACGAGTTTTTTTTATCAAAACTTGCTGTCGGACTATGTGTGAGTAATTGTAACTTGGATCCATCGAGTGAACTTGATGGCGCCACAGATGAATCCTTGGCCTTACAACAAAACTCGCTAGTTTCTTGGTCCATCTCAAGCTTTTTCCACACATCATTAAATATAATTACAGGAAAATTCACTGATGGCTGCTGCTTTTTTGCGGGATTTCCGATCATCATTTAATCCTCGGTACAAAAGTTCCCCTTCATATTAGCAATTCGACTCCATCTCCTCTATTATATCCTCTAGGATGCTCTCTACCATCTTGTTAACAATTCCTTCGGCATCCTTTCGAGTATCCACCCAAACTTGAGGCTTTGCCAAGTCCTCTTTGACGAGCTGCTCCAAAGTGCCTAACCTCGTTTGGAAGACGAGGTTCCAATCTACCCATTTGATCGCCTCACGAGCCACATTTTCATCTGGTGGAACCATCTTAGTATTTAGTCTGAGAAATCTGAAATACCACTCGTTTGCAACTTCTTGGAGGATTTCATCAACATAATCAAAGAGGAGCGTGTGATCGATGCCGGACCGATCTGGCTGCGTCCCTATTGCACTAAATAAAAACGGGGGAAGAAATTGCTCCGACTCGGGGTACTTCACCAGGAGTTCATTCCAGTTCAAATCCGAAGCTATCAAAAGTGACCTCACATACTCAGATGTGAATCCAAGCTTATCATCAGCCTTATTGGTAGAAAATTTGGAGTCTGATGGGGAAGTCACTAAAGCAATTTCAGGTGACCCTGATGGTGGATCAGCTGCAAGTGTCACAACATACTTAGGTCAATGAAACAGAATACCAAAAGAAAGGAAAAAAGAACAGAATAAGATTAATGTCTCTTTTCCAAAGTGAATCCTACCCGGTTCAGACATGGTTCTATCCAAGCTCACAGTAGTTCTGGAAGTAATCACATTATCTGCATTCTGGGCATTTGTAGCTCTTAATAAGGAATCATCCACCAAAGAAGTTTCCGGTTGATTTTGTAGAGGTGAATCCTGAAAATGTCAAAGATACGAAGTTGTAAGCTGTATAAAATATCCTAGAATGACAGTAGGAACTGTTAGAAGAGGACAGGGCAGAGAAAAAGACATATAGGTGATAGTAGAACAATGAAGTCAACAACTTATCGACTAAAGTTGACAAGAGAAAGTGTTACCAATTCAAAGCAACATAAGCATTCTCCTTTGTGGGGGTCCTTAGTTGCACTGATGCTCTGATTAGCGCAACAATATGGCCCGCAATTCAATGCTTCAGGTTCTTTGAAAGGATTGACACTATTTGGGAGCATATTATTTGTTGTTTCTGCAATAACAGATTCTTCAGCAATGCCAAGATGCGCCTGGTTAGAAGGAGCTTGACCAAGCTCGCAAGGTAAAGATATATCTTCGGAGCCTGAATCAAAAGGGAAAGGGGTAATTTCATGCATTTCAGTTTCGAGAAGTTTCTCTTGCATTTCTAGGTTTGCTTTAGCATGATTAAACGGATCATCGGGATTCCTGCAAGTATCATCATTCAGCGTGGGGACCTCCTCATTTGGCCTCGGTGGGCTCGGAACATTATTATCATTTTCCTTGTGAATCCCCAGTCTGTTCTGATTGTTTAGATAGTAGCTGTAGGAGCTGAACCTCATCTGAGCGGTAAACATCCCAACTTCTTCGGTTCTCCCGGAATTGAGGAAGGACAACAAGTCTTGCCCAGGCAAAGAGAGTGACCTCCTTCTTGTATTAATGAACTGCTCTTCAGAAACCTTTTTATTCAGATCTTTACTTAATGGCTGAGAGAGATGTATCCTAGCTTCAGCCATATTGAAGTTTACTTCCTTGTGATCTCTGTGACTTCCTGGACAAGCACCTCCGCCTGTTGTAGCAGATTCACGTCCGATTTTCGCTCGGGGACTGTCATGCTCACCTGCAATATCTTTCATCTCGATATCAACTGAAAATTTAGGCATCTGTCCCTTCTTTGTTCTTCTTAGCTCAGTAGCATTCCTCGTTTTCCTTCTCAAACCTTGAAATGGAAAGTGTGACTGTCTAATGGCTGGGACCTCATTTCTTATGCTATTGTTTGTTTGTGAAGATGAGCCGCTTTTCTCGATGTTTCCTGCGCTTTGTGGTCCAGGCCCTAAAACCACTGTTGAAAAGTGCTCTTCACTGCTTCTCTTGGGACGGAGTTTTCCCCAGCTCATGATCTTCTTCCAGGAAAGCATACCTGTACTTTTCTCTTGAATCACACTTGTATCAATAGTACTATCACACTTTTGTTCTTTTTCCTGAGAGTCCCGCAATTCTTGGATGTGCTTCGCTAATACAGAGTCTCGGTCATCCAGGAGTTTAGAGAATAATTGTTTGTTGGAATTCAGCACGTGCAACGCTTCCAAGAATTGCTTAGACTTGTGGCCCGTCCGATCATCACCAAAGTGGCCACCGTTGACGAACTTCTGATTTACCAGTGCCTCCGCCACTTCGTTCCTATGAAGGGATTGGACATTCGTCTTCTTCAAATCTTTATTTACTGCCACACTGATGCTTCTACAGCCAATCCCTCCTCCGCTTCTGGGGTGTACCTGATGGCAAAATAGTCCTCTGAATGTCGACTGAGAAGGTCCATCCACTAACATAGGATGGGGAAGTTTCCGTGGAGAACCCATATTTGAATCATTTCGTCGACGCCTACGGTGTGTCTTCCCTAGGCTTTTGGATGAGTGACTTGGAGTCTCGAGAAAATGTTTCATTTCCTGTTTTGCTTCAGCATTCTCTCTCTTTAACCGGTTGCTCATGAGCCTCTCCTTTTGCCTCATTTTATTTACACATTCATCTCTGAACTTGACAACCGAAGTTGTGTGATCCTGTTCGCCCTAGAGGTTACAGATTGGCGGTCAGATGGTTTGCTTCATCCAGCAAATGTTAAGAAATAAAACAAGAGACAGAAGTGGAGACTACAATTACAAGAATGTTCCACCAGAAAATGTAAATGCAACCGATGGCTGAGTTTAGATTTTGAATATAAATATGCAAAAATTTGGGTGATCTCAATAGCAGAGGGAACAATAAATAGACTTACAACAGCACCTTGGCTCTTCTTATCCGACGTGTGAAGAGTTTTAGGTCTCCCTTTCATATGCACATCGTCTGCAAAGGTAAATAAATCAATAAATTCTACACTTCAAACTTAACTTTTTTATATTTGACATTTATTTTCTTTTGTGCGTGGATGTTGGATGCTGCATTTCTGAGCATATTTAGTTAACCCTTCCGTGTTGCAACTGATAAACTTTGAACTGGAAAGCGTATTAAAATGATAATCATGTCGATGGTTTCTTGATAAGTGATGCGGTCCAGTTTGAATTCTCACCATGGTTGTGCCTATTCTCTGAATGCCTCGCATCTGTGAGCAGCTTCATATGTAAACGACCAGGCAGAAGCTCAGGAACGTTCATCAAATCCCAAGACATGCAACCCAACTGGTACTTCTCGTATAGCCTGGGGCTTTTCGATGATCTCTTTCCCGTGATACTTGAACTAGCGCTCCTAGCTCAGAATTGCCTCTTGGCTCCTGTCATTCAGGCAATGACCCTCAGGTAAACTGCAGTACATTGACAGATTGAAAAAGAAAAACATTAGGAATGATAGAAACCAGTTCTTTCAACTGTTTCATTCCAAAAGAACATCTAAACTCGCAGCAGATTCCTCAAACTACAATCTTTTTGCATAATTAGTTGATGACACAAATTCTTCTGATGCAAAACATACAATTCAATTCCTCTGCCCTTCGTAATTCACTTTTTTGAGACTAGATGCTGTCGAATGGATTTGTCTATTTAGAGTGATTCGGTAAAGGCAAGCCCATGTTGAAACATACTAATATATTTAAAAAGAAGTTGCTCGTTTTGAGTTTTACGCTCAATTTTTTGAATGGGAAAAGAAGGGCCTGGACATAAAAAACCAAGTCTAAGTTGTACAATGAGTAAAATCAACTCTTAAGCAGGTGTGATGGTAGTGAAATGTAGCATTATTTTGTCAATTAAGAATTTGAACTCTAGTCTCATAGACCTCTTCATTTGCTGGAAGCAGAAAACGCAAGATTGCAACCATATACCAGGCAAAATTTTCTCAAGAAAGTGAGAGCAAGAAGGCATGAACTGGTTTGTAGAGAAAGCAAGAAAAAAAGTACCATTAATGAGACTCTGAGCTCAAGTGCTTTGAGAGAATGCCCAGAAAGTTTAGTCAACTCAAGATTTTCTGAGGTTAACTTGCAATGGCTATCCTTGAGGATCAAAAGTTACGTCGAACCCATCAACAATTTGCCAGGAAGAGAAAAAGAATAAGAAGAAGGCGGGCGAGGAAATGTGAAAATGAGAGGGAAGAGAGAGAAGGTGGCATGAATATGTGAAAGAAGACTCAAATAAGACATGGGGGTGGGAGTTATTATGACATTGACTGGTAAACAGAGTAACCACCACAGTTCTTGCAGGCTTGGAACTGAAGCAAAGTTGAGTTGTGCTCCTCTCTCTCTCTCTCTCTCTCTCTCTCTCTCTCTCTCTCTCTCTCTGTAGCTAGACAGCATCAAAGCTAAAGAGTGAGGTGGGATCAAATGAAAGCTTACAAATTTGCAGAGTATCCTTCTCACTTGGTTCCTGTGTTTGATCCTCTTGGACTCTCTCTCTCTCTCTTTCTCTTCCGCATATGGTGAGAGAACCAGGATCCAAGAAAGCCATGTACAAAACTTTTGCGGTCACACCAACTTCACCAATGCATCAGCATTTCCTTGGCAAGGTTTCCAATCTGGTAGGTCAGGAAAATTTCCAACTTGGTCGCCCGTGTGTGCGCATTTTATAGGGTAAATCTTGGATTTTTCAACTCTTTTTTGGGAGAACAGTTGGCCCAACTTTGGCAATGCCAAAGCTCCCAATTGTGTAAAAGTGTTCATATCAGTCATCAATAGGATCATTGAAGGGGCTGAAAAGAATAGGTTGATCCTACGGCAAGGGAAAGCTATTCATTACTTGCCTCAGAATGTCATGTGGATACATGATGAGTGTATATTGAATTGTGGGGTTCAAAACTTTACCCTAATCAAATATCGCACTGGAATCATATCTAAGTTTTGAAATTTGTCGAGTTCATCAGTCATTCGATATATGTCGATATTATTTGGCGAGTATATGTATCGAAAGACTTTGGATCCCTCGTGATTTTTACATTTCTTTCTATCATTGGAAAAACTAATGTTGATATCGGAAGGATAAATTATCTTGAAAGGTTCTCAACAACTTATTCTCAAATAAGCATTTGCTAATTTACTATTGACGGGTTTTTTAGAAAAGCAATTTACTCGGGAAAAATCTTTTTTCCTTTTCCGTTTGGCCAACTAAAAACGAGTTAAAGACGGTGCATTGAAGTGAAAACTCATTTCAACACCAATTCGTTCACATGTATAAATTTTATTTAGCGACATATTATATTGCTAAGACATTAGACCAAACTCATATCGACACCAAACTTCAAATGAAATAAAAAAAATTAGTTTGCACATCAATTTTGACTAGAACTCATCGTCATCATCTAAAAACTCCCCTCGGGACTTTACATCATAAGATTAGATGATACTAAATTTAAGACTTTATACCAAAACAAGTCGAAACGACCGATCAAATACGACACATCACTAAACGAACGTGTTTCGACAGGAAGTTTCGGCGCCTTTTGTCATTATATTCGCATGGAATTATGCATGGATTATCGCAAAATAAGGTGCCATGTATGTTGTCTAGTTAGTCCTGCTAAGCATACGTACAAATGATCTTACGGAGCCTTGTCTGCAACTGTTTGTATGAACAGTGGGCTGACATCTGACTTTCGATGCCGTGCAATGTAGGGGTTTGAAACATTCAATTTCGTAACCAACCTTTAAATATTATAATCAAACCTGACATTCGAGGATGTCTCTTTGTCCACATTTCAGCCATCAATTTAGGCCGTGAATGCTCATCCTCTGATGGATATAGAGAGCATCTAGAGACTTAGATTAGCAGTCTAATTAACATGAAAATGACTATCGCCCAGAAGAAGACACCGAAGAGAAACCGCTCTTCGCGCATCGGCGAGAGCTTCATGCACTTGACCATGCATGCCGGCTCGAAAATCATGTTAAACACAAGCGTCCACAGATCCTTTTTTCTTCAATCTTTGTACTTACATGTACCGAGTCTTCATGCAGTGCGAGATCCTTCGGTTCTTGTTGGTTTTATTCCACCTGATCCCTGCTGAATCGAGAACTGCCGAATCAGAAGCGAAAGCCTGGCTTATCCGCGACCACATCGTCTCGAAACGTTTTCTTGCGGCCTGAGTATTGTATTATTTGATGATGAATCGCTGTCCGAATTCGCTCACCAGTTTGGTCAAACAGGAGCTCGGAACGAACATAATTAAATTTCGATTTGGACACTTATGATAAACCCATTCCCCGAGCTGCAGACCCCGGATGTATTCACATATGTACTGCAGCATCGAGGGACAACATCAGCATTCGAAACTTCGACGGACCCGCTTTCCGCCACGAATCCCCTCTTCTTCGTTGTTCTAACCTCGACCGTTAAACGCGAGTTCAAGTCCTTAATAGTTCTACGTCGCGACCTTGAATGTGATGTCGTTTTCCGCGAAATTGTCGGATTTAACAATGGCCATGGCGTCGCTTTTCTTCGGGCTCGTTCTTTCTCGGCCTTTGATCGTACACGTTGAGCTTTTCTTAGGCTCTAAACTTCATTCCACGATAACGTGGTACCGTTGGGAAAATCTCTTTGACTTATGTGAACCAGAAGTCTACTTTCTCTCTCGCCATTTTTTTTTGGTCTCCGGTGTGCTGTTTCGGGGAAAATCACCACTACAAAAAAACATGTTTTTTGCGACGAAAAAATCGCAAAAATCCGTCGCAAAAATGATTTGCGACGAATTTCGGAAATTTTCAATTTTCGTTGCAAATTTGCGACAAAAAATTGTCGCAAATTAGCCACGAACACTATCCGTCGCAAAGTTCGTCGCAAATATTTCGTCAGCAAAATTGTCGCAAAAATCGTCGCAAATTAGCCACGAACACTATCCGTCGCAAAGTTCGTCGCAAATATTTCGTCACAAAATTCGTCGCAAAATTGTCGCAAATTAGCCACGAACACTATCCGTCACAAAGTTCGTCGCAAATATTTCGTCGCAAAATTCGTCGCAAAATCGTCGCAAAATCCGTCGCAAAATCGTCGCAAAATTGTCGCAAAAGTCATCGCAAAATTTATCACTAATTTTTCGTCACAAATTTTCATCGTAAAATTATCGCTAATTTTTCGTCGCAAAATTGTCCGCTAATTTTTCGTCGCAAAATTTGTTGCTAATTTGCCACAAAATTCTTTTTTTTTGTTAATAATTTGCGATTAAACTGATTCGTGGCAAAATTTATTGCTATTTTGCCACGAACATTGTTCGGAACGAATTTAGCGACGAATTTTATTAATTCGTCGCAAATTAGCAACGAATTATAAAAATAGTTACGAATGTGTAGCAAAAATTTATTACAGTTGGCCTCCTCACAACTCGGCACAATGCAAATTGTATCTAATCCACTACCGAAACCCGGTATATCTACCACAAACTCAAATTTCAGAGTTCCTTCTAACCTCCGATATCAAGTACATGAATATTGGCAATAATAGTGCATGCTTTAATATAAATTCTCGCATGTGAGCTAAGCTCTTGAGGGAACCCCGAGCTTCATATCCTCGGTGGCCCACCACACCCTCCTCGAGATCTCCCGCCACCCCTTGTACACCCGCACCACCGCGAGCCTCCGCCGGCGCAACCTCCTCAGGACCTCCCACAAGCACTGGGCGAGCAACCCGCCGCGTCCCGCATCCCCATCCACGAAATCCCGATCCCGCTCGTCGAGATCCGGCCCCACCTCGTCCGAAGTCCTCCTCCTCCTCGTCGGCGCGGACGCCGAGGTCGTCGAAGGAGAGCACGCGCGAATGAGAGCGAGGACGGCGTGAGGGCGACAGCGAACGCGGAGAAGGCGGCAGCCGGGCGGCGTTGACTCGCTCGGGAGGAGGCCGCGGCACAGCTGGCACGGCGACGAGGAGGAGTCGGCGGCGTGGGGGGGAGGAGCTAAGCATGGCGTGAGCGGCCCTTCTTGGAGAGGCCACAGCGGCCGCAGCTTGCAGCTGCGCTCTTGCCGCACTTGGCGGTGGCGTCGTCGTATTTTATAGGGAATCTTCTAAATATTTCTCTAATAGAATGCATGCCCTTTATTCACTTATCATTCGGATGTAACCCTTTAGGAGTAATTCATCTAATTGGTTAGATCAAATTGGTTAGGTCTAACTAAGAATATCACTTTTATAAGATCTCCTATAGATATCCCTATATAGATACATTGACTTTACATTTCATACATCCACCCGATTTCGATCTATTTGAAAATTGCTATAATTTATTTACCCATATATTTACTCATACATAAGAGCTACGTGCGGAAGAAACCGCCACATTCAACTAAATAGATATCTCTTATCTATATCTAAGTCTTGAAAAAGAAAAGATAAGATTTGCACCTATCGAATCTAAAAAGCTTATTTGGGATGAGAACATTTTAAGAGATTATCTAATATCTTGAGTTTATAATAGATCTTCTTATCTAATTTGAATTTGTAAATCTAATCTCTCTTAGAATTGGACGTGTAGCAAATCGTCCAATCTCTTTTGAATTTGAACTTGTGACAATCATCCAATTCGTCTCTACTTTCGTCGCAAAATGGTAAATTTCATTGCACAAATTAGCGACAGAAAATAAATCCGTCGCAAAATTCGTCGCAAATTTTCGACGAAAAATTAGTCGTCGCTAATTTGCGACGGAATTAGTGACGAAAATTTTCCGTCGCAAATTTATGACGAATTTTGCGACGGATTTATTTTCCGTCGCAAATTAGCGACGGAATTTGCGACGGAATTTTTCCATCGCAAATTTGCAACGAATTTTGCGTTGGATTTATTTTCCGTCTCAAATTTGCGACGGAATTTGCGACAGATTTATTTTCCGTCGCTAATTTGCGACGGAAAATAAATCCGTCGCAAAATTCGTCGCAAATTTGCGACGGAATTCCGTCGCTAATTTGCGACGGAATTAGAAATCACGCAAATTAGCGACGAAAATTTCCATCGCAAAATTCATGTTTTTTTGTAGTGCACTATGTGCATTGTACAATGCTGGTCCCCGAATTTTTAATTTGTTCCATATAGCTTTTGAATTTTAACCCAATGTGCAATGTGGCCCCTGAACTTTTGATACATTTTCAATTTAGTCATTAAATTATATGAAAATGTTTAATGTAGTCCTTGAAAATGTTCAATATAATCATTTCATTAATTTAAAATTTGAGCTACATTGAACATTTTCATATAATTCAAGAAAAGTTTAAGGACTACATTGAACACCAGGCTAAAGTTTAGGGGACATATTGAACAAATTAAAAGTTCATAACTCACATTGTATATTGGGTCAAAGTTCAAAGATCATTTGTATAGTTATCCCATTCTTAAAGAGAAGTGAAATGAAGGCAAGTTCGGAGGAACACACGAAGTACGAGTAAAAGAAGAATGAAGAAGAGAATATTCAAGGAAGAATAATCATCGGATTGACCCTTGACTATTCTCCTCCAGATGAATTCCGTAATAGATTTGATCATCAGATATAGTCCGCTTATAGTTTTAATACCGTGAAAAGGACTCGAGATATAATACTAAACGCGACATGAACATCTCTCCTTCCGTGTAAATCGGATCTTTTTAGAAGAGAAGACACTGAAATCAACCTTGTGTTCCTTTAACGTACGTGTTAGGTATGATCTCGAACCCCCCCCCCTCCCCAAAAAAATGAGGAAGTTAAAGGGTGTGCTTTTTAACATCAAGAATATTATAAGAAAGCAATGTGAAGAGGCGAC